ATTTAATTGAACTCAGAAAAAATTTTTAGTTTAAAAATTTTTTTGATTAGTTTAGAACAATAAATTTATTTTGTTCAAAAGTACTTTTTTCTTGAATCAAGAAAAAAATTTTTTTTATCAGTGCAAAAGTTATGTATTATCATTATTAAAAAAAAAAACTGTACAAAATTTCATATATTGATCACTGTAAATGGCTTATACTGACGACTTCATAATTTAATAAAATAATAAAAAATAACTAATTATTAAATTGTAAAAAATATTTTATGTTATTTGAAAAATAGGAATGATTTTTAGTAAGTCAAAAGTTGATAAAAACTTCAATAAATAATAATTACATATACTGATAAAAAAAAATTAATACAAAGAGAAAAATTTCGGACAAAATCTGATGAATATTTTAAATCAAGTAATAAAATTCTTAAACTAAGAAATTTTTTTTGGTGCGAATAAATTGTACTTGATTTGAAAATTTTTTTAATTTTAATAAAAAAATTTTTCTGATTCGAGATGATCAAATTGTTAAACTAATTTTTTTTTATAAATCAAGTTAATTATTTTTTCAGTGTATTTTTCAAAATTAAAAATTTTTAACTTCCTATAACCATGGATCATTTTTCGGGATTATTTCTTATTGATGTTTGAGTCTCACATTTATTATTAGAAATTTTTACAATAATAAAAATTTTTAAAATCTATAAATAAAATAGAAGAGAATTTAGATAAAATTAAAAAAAAATAACTAACTACAATTTTTGTATAAAATTAATTTCAATCAATGAAATAATAATAATAATAATAATAATAATAATGTATTTTGATTTTCATGAATCAGTAAATTAAAAAAAAACTTTTTCAACTACTTTCCCAAAAATAATGTCTTTCACAATCGGTCAAGCAGAAAAAATAGTTCCTAAAATTTTCATCAGCCAAAGTGCTTTCAGAGTTATATTTATGTATATAATAGCCTACAACTAAAACCTAGAACGTATGTCAAAAAATTTCCAATACAAACAAATCAGAAGTTTACAAAACTATTACACAAAAAAAAGCTTAAAGGTGCATGTAATCAAAGGAAAAAAAGTTTACCGAACAGAACAGAAGTCATCAATAGGAAGAAACCGTTGCGAAAGATTTCGTCGTTGAAATCCATTTAACCGACGGGTGTTGGCCGCTAAAGAGGCGCTAAATAGGCGTGTCCCTTGCTTCCGTTTGCGGCATTTTCTCTTTTATATAATACATATAATATGATATCTATAAAGTATGCTTTATATATAGATACAGGCTAATAAAGAAGACCGATCACTCCTCACAATGCTCGACGATGAAAAATCGGGCGTCACAATAATAATAAAAAATATATGTATTGCCTCTATAAAAAGGTAACACGTGGTACGTATACTTTACTTAGGACTGAGATAATTTGAATTAGAAAAAAAAATTTAATACATCTAAGAAGGACAGGAGCGTGAAAAATTCGAAGTTGAAAAACTAAATCTAACATTTTTATCACCACCCGAGATAAATTTTTTTATATAGAGTGATATAGTCTAATATATTATTGATTTGATCATATATGGCCGTATCAATAAAATTTATTTATATCAAGACCCCTTTCTTAGTTAAATCACGAAAATGAAGCTCTTTAAAATGATTTTCTTTGTTTCAGAATTTTTTTCTTAAATCAAACTAATTTTTCTTTAAATGTATATAAGGTAAAAGACCTAGTTATATACACTAGCCTAGTTGATTGACACTTGCAATTTTACTCTAACTAAACAAATAAAATGTTCTCAAAAAAACAATTATCTTAAAATTTATATATAATTCGAAAATTATATTTATTAATTTATTAGAGTCTATTTATTTTATTTAATTAAAATAAAATTGCAAGTGTCAATAACTGGGTCTTTTACCTTATACATTATCATTTCGTATTAAACAAAAATAGGTTTAGTAATTTTAATTTTTAATAAAACTAAAAAACCAATGACATTGACAAATAAACTCTGCATTGATTTGAGATACATTTTAAATTTTGATTATTTAATTTTATTCCGTTTTATCGGGCCCCAATTACATTTTATAAATATTAAATAATTTAATATGAAAGGCTTGGGGTGTAAAGGGGCATAAAAAGCCTATACACTAGAAACAAATAGAAATAGAAAAATAATTTAATATTTATTAACATTCCTTATACAAAATAATACATATTTTTATTATTTTGAAACGAAAAGAATATAATAAAAAAACCTATTTGGAAATTTTGACAAAAATCATTTTTATTTTATGAACTAATATATAAATGCATAAAATTAAACTCTCTTGTAAGGAAACGATTTAGCGATCATGCGCTCTCTGTGAGAGATTTTGAGTACTACCTTTGATAAAAAAATTATAAATAGGCATTATCACCGTGTCAGGCCAATTTTCATATCAGGCTTTATAAAAAATTTAATTTGGAGATATTAGACTACATTCGGCCGGACATAGACATATAAGGCTATATTAGAAAATTTTTTCACGGGTAAAAAATTAATAAAATCATACCCCAAAAATCCATGTAAAGTAACAGTGAGTTCCAGTATGAAAGACATTAATCCTAGTCTTAAAGTCTTTGCCGTCAGATCGCAATACTTGACGTTCATATATAGATATAAATAAGGTATATACATGTACACGTGTCATTCGTATGTTAATAGGGCCTGAGGGATGGCAAGGATGTAGGGATTTATTATATAGAACGCCCGCCGCGAATCTAATATAACCCAGAGTCAAGCAACGCGCAACAACACACGTCGCTAACTCCTGTAAATAAGTATTTCTATGTAAGTATATGTGTATATGTGTACATATACAGCAGACTACAGGGTTGTGAAAAAGCTCAAGGGCTCAAGCTTATACACGGTTGGCTTTTCGTTAGTATCCCGTCGGATATCTCGCCCCCAACTTATATTATATGACAAGTATATTAAGGTAAGCATTTATATCAATTAGCCGCGACGTTTAAAGCTAAAGACTAGTAGGGAGAATCAAGGGGTCTGTGCTCTTCGCCCAGACAAAGTCTTTAGTTTTTAGGGTTTTTAGTCTTCACTTTGCCGGGAGGATATTATTCTCCTGTAAGCACTTTTATAATGCAGCGTTTCTCTCGTTTATAGGTGAGAAAAAAATACAGCTATATCTATTGAAGTTTATTTTTTTTACGGTGAATATTTTAATATTTATCTGGTTGCATTTAAAAAAAAATTATTGATTCAAGGAAATAAAAGTATTCTCATTAAGCGCTTTGGCTTTGGGATATTCGGTTAAATTGAATTAAAAAGTACACTTACGAATGATGAAAAAAAAAAAAAACGGGATAGATAGAAAAAAGAAATGTTTAATTTAAAAATTTTACTTAGTCTACGAAGCAACAGTTTACTATTATTAAAGTTGCCTGTATCTTTTTTTTTTTATAATTTTTTATTTTTTCTGGAAATATGTACGTCAATTAAAGTCGCATCAAACAATAATTATTTAGTGTTTGATTAAAAAAAAAAATAACTGGTAGAAAGTATTTTTGAATTGGAAATTTTTGTCAACATGAAAAAACCCTGTCGTCATTGGGTTTTTTTCCTTACATTTAATATTTTAATAACTCAGAATTCCCGATGTCACATTAACAACCTGGATAAAGATGTGTAAGTATTGAATCATAGTATATATATCAGGAGCTATTCTTCCTTAATTACAAATCATCAGCCACAATTGAATTTGAGTAAGTACTTGATTTTTTTATAATTTTGCAAACACCTATTTTCGATTTTTATCCGCGTAATAATAATGTTTTTAATTTTTAATTTTTTTTTTGGCAACAAACTAGGATTAATAGTAACGATGAAGACTGTCAATTATTTGTTCTTCCTGTGTGTTTTCGTTGGAGCCTGTTTCGCAGATGATATTTTATCAAAAGTCATCGGAACCGACGACGCCGCACCGGTTATAACATCAAAAAGAGGTAACAATTTTCAATTGCTGATAGAGATTCAGTTTTCTTCATTTAAAAACTCTAGTCTGGAATTAAGAAAATAAATCTCGAAAATAAAGCACTAAGAGTTCTTTCTTAGAGCATATTACTCTTAAAAAGAAGAATTCAATGTTTTAAATCAAAATATGTTCGTGGAAAGACACTTGCTCTAAAAGTTACCGTTAAATTTATTGTAATCGTGGAACATAATGCGGCCCTTAATTTACTATCATTTTTTAAATAAAAGTTACGAAAAAATTATTTTACTTTATGGTAAACTAGATAAAATTTATGAAAAACAATCAATATTACGACAGACTACGATAAAATCTGTTGAAACAAAGCTGGATAATGATCTCACTTACCGACAAATGATGAGCCCGTGTCATCTGTTCCATGATTATCGTAAATTAAACAGTCATATTAAATGAAAATTTCTTTCAGTGTATTGATATGTTGATTCAGAATATAAATGAATTAACTAGACCAAATTGTAGACAACAATAATCGTGTTATGATAATTTGTTTAATTTTTGCTTACAACCAAACAGCATTAAAGGATTTGATGCAGACTACCAAGGACTTGCTTCAAATGTGTGATAAACTTGGAAGCTGTTACGATGTCAATTTTTTAAATCCACTCAACAACACTTAACGATAACCATGGCACAGAAATCAGTACAACAGTAAAAGGTAAAAATGATCTTTAGATACGGGACAAGTTACAAAATAGGACTAATAAGATTGCTCAAAGTAATTTCGAAAAATAGACTGACTAAATATAAGCTTTTAAAATAATACTTTTTTAAAAAAAAAAACTGGAATGTAAATAGCACAAGTATTCAAAAAAAAATAAACAATTTATTTAACATTTAAATAAAATCAAAATACTTTTCACATTTTCCTCCTCGTAACCCTTATTATAAAGTTTTAAATTGTTTTGATATTGATAGTCCAACTTTGAGTATTAATATGGACCAAAAGAGCCTGAATGTTAAGAAATAATAATCTTTTCTCAGAGGTTGAGAGTTTTTGTTATACTACCGACGATTGCTCAGATCCGATGATGATTTGTGTTGACCATCGATGTCAATGTTTAAAAGGATGTGTCCGATTGAACAATAAATGCTACCGAGTAAGAGGAGGTTCTTGTACTGAGTCATCTAACTGTATGTCCACCCATTTAGAATGTCGAAACAAGACATGTACCTCGGTTAATGAATTTAAAGAAGGAAATTGGACTTGTCACAATAAATCGGGAGGTTAGTAACATTTATTCCATTGAGCACACTCGAAATGAATTTCTCATCAGAAATCTTCAATATTTTCTGTTTTTAGCTACTGTTTGTTGGGGAAATGAAATGTCAAAAGGATCGCCGAACATTCTCTGCCATGCAATTCATAACTATTTTTCAGTTGCAGGAGTGCTATAGTCAACAAAATTGACGGTTCGTCAAAATGTCGACACGCTTGGAATAGAATTGCGAATGGAAAACGTTTCGAAGTACGTAATCAGCTCTGTTATTTGTCATTACCAAATTAAGCTGTAAATTTTATAATTTTTCAGTTCCTTAAGCCCAATGAAAAAATAGTTTGGAAAAACAGCAATATCAAGTTTGATAATACCGTCTACGGTGGTCCGGATGCTGACAGCTGGTATCACCTATACCTTATATGCCAAACTGAGCACAACCATACCAAGTACATTGACCATTGGACAATTGCTTAAACCGGATTATAATGTGTGCAGATTTATTTTTAATGGGACCTTTCATGAATCTAAGACATTTGATGTCTTAGTCTATGATTCTTAAGTTTATCATAAGATATTACTTGCCAAATAATGTGTCGTCTTTTAGTTAAAAAACAGTATGATATCTATGAAAACTACTGAACTTCATGATTATCATAAATTATTTATTATCATACAAAAATTCTTAAGTAAAAACATATCATTTTAGTTTAGTTTACTCATTTCTTATCATTTATATCAGGAATTCCGAGTTTTTATTTAAAAAAATTTTTTTTTTATAATTAGTTCGACTCTTAAAAGTCGATAAACTATTAGACCAATTACTACGTTTATCAATTTCTTTTCATTTATTGATAATAATAATAATTATAATGTCAGAAAATATAATTGTCTTATAAATAAATTCAACTGCAAATAATGAACTTTTTTTCATCCAACCTTATCCATTGTATCAGCGACAACTATTAACTTAATTATAGATTTTATAAAAAAAAAGCGGTGGAGTTTAAAAATGTAATCAATTAAAAAAAAAACATTAGTTTAGATTAACGGTCTCTGTAATTAATCTCTGGAATTTTTCTAACAGCTCAAAAATTTACTCGCCAACTTTATTTATCAACTGCATAAAATTCCAAATTAGTGCAAGAAATATTATATCTTCAACTATAAAAATTAAGTTAGCCATCTAAAAATTTTTATAATTTTTTTTTTATTGAAAAAATTATTACAGAAAAATGAAAAATAATTTTCATTTGTAAAAAACTAACATCTATTAAAACAATTTTTTAAGAATATTTTTTAGTTCTAATTTAATAAATGAAACATGTCGGCTCTTTAGTATTATTTTTAACTATAACTGATTCGTTGGCGTTAATCAAATAGAAAACATTCTTTTTTAATTCTATCTAATTTATCTAACATTCAGAATTCATTAACAATAACCTGCACAAAAAAAAACCTGCTAAAAATATCGTGAAAAAGAAAAAAGTATACTTGAAATAATTTAAATCCGGATTTAAAGGGAATCATAAACTAAAATAATTATATTGAATAGGGCAGTTAAGCGTGAAGCTAAAGTGACCACAACAGTAGAAATACAGTGCAGATAGAAAATACACTATAGAGTGGCAGACATGAGAATTTGTAGACGGTGTCAAAAAATCTCTCGACAATAATAATATAATGTAAAGCCAGGGAGTCACATTATATATATTATATAGTTTGAGGAAATAAAAGTTTAGGTGACACAGCCACAATTACACGGGGTGTGAGTATTCATAAAGGAGAAAACCCAAGTGCTCCTGATCCCGATCTATATTATTGAATTCATTGAATTTATCCATCCCAACACCATTACACACTACTACTCGTAGTTTTAGTTGAGGGGATGAGGTGTCACCGGATTGACCGGATGTTTAGGTATTGTCCCCTGCAAAAATGCACAGGATCTTCACTTTCTCTCTCTTCTCTTCTCTTCTCATCGATATAATATAATATAATAAAATATATATATATAATAATATAATATAAGGTATAAGGGATCAAACATTATTGTCAAACGTTTAGCTGGTTGTTTGGGTGATGCCAATTCAAAAAGAAGCCTGTAGTGAGCTCACTAGTATACTGAACTAATTCTGAAGGAAATGGGCCTTAAAAGCTGAAAATTTTTCAACCTCATTGTCCAAATATCCCATACGATTTTTGGTGGCATGTGTGTCAATGACTAAACGACGAAAAATTACGGGGGTGTATTAAAGACGATAGTTCCTACTGAGTATTTCATGAGTTTAGATTTATATACAAACATACAAATCTATAGATATATGTGTATTTTGGGTGCAGAGAATTTTTCGAGACTCACAAATGCTGACGAGTTTAATGGGAATATATATTGCTCTTGTCTACGCCCTTATATATTCAATGGAACTTATATATATTATATGGAGAGTGAGAGGCAGGGAGAGGACTCTTTTTGTTGATCAAAAGTAATCTCTATTCGACTTTTTATTGTGCTAATGGTTAAGTATTAATTTATTGTACTATTTAAGTATATTTATTCGTTATTATATCAATCTTGAAATTTTTTTGTGTCAAACATTGAAAATAGAAGTAAAGGAGGATTTTTATAAAATAACCCGTGAAAAAATTTTCTTATAGGACCATATCAAGCTATAGAGCAAAATTATAATTTATTTTGTTCCACATTATTTATGTCAATTAACATATCGTATTAAATGAAAATTTCTTAGTCATTATTTAACTGAAAACTAATTTCAAATAAGCTCTAGAAATAATATGAAAAAATAATTCAGATTCCAGAAAATTTTATTGATATAATAAGGCGTTACAATCTTCTTAATGGTATAACTAACCATTAGTACATTATTATATATAATTTATTATTTTTTATTACAATCCTGTTCATTGGACTTGGCTAGTATTTAATGTCGATACAAAAAACCCAATAAGATATATTAAATGAAAAAATAATTTTTATTTTTAAATATTTACCATTTTAAACTTAACTCTCTTGTAAGGAGGGGGTTCAGCGATCATGCGCCCTCTATTGATGATTTTCAACATTACCTTTGGTCGAAAAATTATATTTAAGGATTTATCACTGCATCAAGCCAGATATGCCCATATATGGCTAATTTATATGTCAGGCTACATATATACGCATAGTAAGAGATCAAAAATTATATGCGGATATATTAGGGCACATTAGAAATGTTTTTCATGGAATGTAATTATATAAACATTGAAAAATCTTTAAATCCATTAAAAAAAAAAAAATTAATGAATAATGAAGATCCTAATAATAGTTACCCATTTTTATACCGTTGATCCAAAAATTTATATCCCGTAATTAATTAAATGTACAACAAATCCTTTGACTCACATTTTTTGTTTTAGGAAATTGAAAGGTCTACTAAAAAGATTTCTTACACTATTTTTATAACTCCAACCATTTAAAAGAAATATTAAAGTTTAAATTTCGAAGACTTTTAGAACAAATTTTATTCACTTAGCTGGTTTTTAAAATTACCTGATATGAACATGTATATTGTGATATTTATGTGTTATATATGATGATCGAAAATTTATTTTTCTATGACAATTTTTTTTTTTTATCAAAAAATCTGTAACCCGTAGTCGTGAAAAATAATGAAATAAGTGATGAAAAAAAAAATTTTACTGAAAATTTGGATTTTAAAAATTTATTAATAAATAATTATCTTAACTGGTATACTTCTTACGAGTATATAAAATAATAACAATATTTTAACATAATATCAAAGCTAAATCAGTATACCCCAATAAATATGACGATTGACGATTGAGGAATAACCTCAGTAGCACTTAATAATTTTCCCACTACACCCTTACCCTCAATATGAAACCGTGACAATGGGGCCAGCACGCGCGACGTCCATTAGTGCCATCAAACTTGATTCTCTTGTTGATATCATATACATTTATATATTTATATTCACATGTTGGATTAGGTCTTGTGTTCTATGTATAAATTATAAAGACAAATATTAGACATTATTATTTGTTATTTATAAAATATTATCGCAACTCAATAAATAAATTTATAAAGAATTACTAGAAGAAAAATAAAAAAATGGCATTTCAGTGCTGTAATAATATTACTGAATAAATTGACAATTGTAAGGTGACAAAAATGTATACAAGATATAAGATTATCCGTGAGGATTTAACAGTAGGTAACGCTGTTGTAGTTTGCTTTATAAAAAGGTGTACTAAGTATAGTATTTAATTTTTCACTCAATTTCATCCGTTGAAAATATGTTTTCCACGAAGGAAAAAAAATTGAGCGACTAAATTTTTAAGACCCTGTGCAATGTACCATTCTTAAGCTTGTTAAATCTGTAGCTTTACGTTGCACGATATCTTGTATTTATCTTGTGTACTTTTATATAAAAGTTCGTGATTTATTTAATTAAATAATTAAATACTTTATTGAATAATAGATGATAACCTGTGAAAAATTTCTTGATATGGCCTGATATATAGATACATTGCCTGATCTACTGCAAAAATCAAGAGTAAATTAAGTTTAAGTTTGTTTTTTTTTCAACGTTACTGAAATTAACTTTTCTTTAGCAATTTTTAGGATTTCTTAACAAATAAATTATTATAGAGAATTTATCAATAAATACTACTTGTAAAAATTAAGAAAAAATATTGAAATATTTTTTTTAAATATTTATTTGTTGAATCAAATTACGAAAAAAGGTTATATTAATTTTTTACATCTCTCATTACGCATTTTGTAATGTTTTAAACAAATAACAGCTTTTTTTTTATTTTTATTCGATAAAAAAAAATTTATTTTATTAATAATATAAATAAAATTTTTCCCAGAATAAATTTCAAAAATTATAATAAATTCTTTTTTTGTTCCCATTTATAGTTCGATATGGTTTTTATACGACCAAATCAAGCCATATATAATTTATGTAAATAGTAAAGTCACTAAAATACTTTTTAAGAATAAGAAAAGTTGCATTTGTCATGATTTAAAGAATGAAAGTAGATTTTTATTTGAATTTTACAATAAATAGACTTTCATTCGAAAAAATGATAGTTACTTTCCGGAAAAAATGAGTCACATATAATAATAATAATAATTATTATTATTATTATTCTATGGTCAGAAATAAAACTTTAACTTAATATCTAAACATATTTATTTATTAATATATAATTATAATAATTCTGTAATAAATGTCAAGAAAATGTATTAAGTTAAAATATCATTACAAACTACAAGTTTATTTATGCAAAATAGATCGAGTGGTTGCGAATAAGCTGCAGCTGAAGCTGCAACTGGGTGGTAGCGTCATCGACCCACTGCTACGCTGTTGAGGTTAACCCCTCTTGGCACCTGGGTACAAAGGCGTGGCTTTTTATATTGTGGTCGATAACCTGGGTCCATTAAGGCT